GAGAGAGAGAGAGAGAGCGAACTTTAATAGACTCTCTTTAAAAATCCCTCCAGTCTCTTCAGAGTTCGCCTGCAAATATAGATACCGTGTAAATTTATCGCGTTAACGTTCACGCTCATTCACGATAATGCGCTGATTATTCGGCTGACTTGTAATTTGATCGGTTGATTTGTAAGCTTTATAAATCGATTGATTTGCAAGAGCTTTGCCTGGATTCTCTCGATACCGGAAGTTCCCGATGGAATTCCTCGACTGTAGAAAATGATCGTTAATGTGATATTTATGACTTATTATTCGATCGTATCCCTAATAATTTGTCAATAATCAGACTATTTTCCCAATAATAATCCGATCTGCTAATTGCATTGCAATACATCGCTGTTTAATGTTGCTTTCTCTACAAAAGTGTATTGCTCGTTACACTTATATTGGGATAATCACAATTCCATCACGATTCCAATATAATTTTTATCGCTATCTTTATCGTTCCACTGATAATTTACAATGGCATCTTTTCCAACGATGATTCACGAAGCTATTAGTCGTTTAGCTATTTATGATAGTCATTTTCGTATTCTTACTTTACGTAAGAATAATTACTTCGTAACTTTTTAATTAAAAACACTTGTGTATTTGTCAGCTTTCAAAGTACACAGAAAATAAAAGATATCACGTATGAAAAATTTGCCAATGATCTATTTAACATAATAATGCACACTCAAGTATTAAGGTCGAGTGAGGTAATTAAAATCGTTAACTAAATAGAGCGACATAATGATTGTTCGACGGCAAATTTAACAATTATAACACCATAGAAAATGTGACAAAAGTTCATCTAATAAATGTAGTATGTAAAATATAATTATTAACAAAATTAGAAACTTACACAATTCGAGAAATTCGTAACAATAAAAATTTGATATTAATATCAATATTACGTGTTACGTCGATACTGTAACGTTATCCGAATCTAATAATTTTATTTCATAAAACTTTATTAAAACTCGTACGTGACAAAAAGACACACGGAAATTAAATGATACTAAAATTGGCCATTTAAAGTGATTCGAAGTCGTTGATGAAATGATACGGAAAAATGGAGAAATGAAAACTTTTAACGTCTCCGATTACGACAAGCTGTCAAAACGCCGGAAACTGCGAGAGGTCCGGAAATCGATAAAATAAATTTCTGATACTTGATATCACGAACTATGTCGAAATATGTTCTACCTTTTCAAACAGCGAATCAAATATTTTTTTATCCAATCAACAAAGATTGGAAACACAGTTCCTTTGTAGTATTACTTAGTACTACATAGGTCACGTTATTATATACATGATATTCATCAGACACTAAAAAAAGAAATAACCAAAATGGCATCTCTTGCGACAAAATAAAGATTGGAATATTTTACCAGCTCAGCGCGTTTCGTCATAATTCATCTCAAAAGTTCGATTTTGATGCTTTGGGTCGTTTCCCCAAACACCAAAGAGATAATCCGCGCAGATGAAATTCGTCGCGGTGAATAGGGAAATTTTAATGGGAACGATAGAAAGAGGGGTTCATTGATCTCGATGATAAAGTTCCAAATATCATTTGTATAAGTTTCTCAATGCCCGTCTTTTCCGCCGGCGAATTTTTTTATCTCCTTTTAATTTTTTTATCTCGATTCTCTCGAGATCTCATCATCAATTTCTCGTTCATGTTGTATTTATGAATATATTCCGCCGAGCGCGGCGAGTTCCGTGTCCGAGAAATTCGCGTTGACGGACCGACCCGGAAGTGGCGGCGCGCGAAACAAGTGAGTCACTCCGATTATCGAAGTCTCTCTCTTTTCCTTTTTCCCTCTTTTCCTTCTCGGTGAGCTAAATTCGCGAGTTTCTTCGAGTTGTGCGTGAAAAGCGAAGAAATTATGTAAATTCGCATACATTTTTCATTTCTTTAGAAACAAAAGCGTCATATATTCGTGACACGCGCGGGCAAATTTTTATTTCGAGCAATCACCGCCATTTACGTTACAAATGTGTTTATTTTTTGTTAAATTGGACTATGCTAAATCCTGTATTGAACTAGAAATTGAGATTAGATTGGAATTTAACTAAATTAAAAAAAAGAAAACCGATCATAAAGTTTAATGAACTTTGTTCTAATCGGTCAAAGTCCAATCGGTCAAATATCCAAATCCACTCTCAATCTTAATCTTAATATTTAGTCTGATACGAGCATGAAGACTTTCTATCTCACTTTTGCCAAACTGTAAAGAAATATCTATTACATTTTAAGCACAACGAGAGTACGTGCACACTCGGTTCAGTCACAAAAAAACAGACCAGTGGTAAACGGTAATCTTAGTTAAAATAGAAAAAGAGCGCCGGCGGAGATCCCCACCGCGCGATTTCGCACGCAACGGCGCGCGACGCTCGCACGTCCCTCAGGCTCAATTTGAATTTCGTCGCGCATACTAACCTCTGTCGACGTTGTGGGCCGCGGGAGCGCGACCCGACTCCCAAACGGGATGAAACTTCTCCACGGGCGCGAGCCGCCGCGCGTGTTGTCAAGCTCCAGGATCCTCGAAGCGGGCGCTCGCTTATGTATCACGCCGATCCGCGTGATAAAAGGAGAGAAGGAGAGAGAGAAAGACACGTGAAATTCACGACCGCTTCACTTCGCGAATCGCGGAAGTACCGCGTCGAGTCGAATCGCGACGGCGCTGACTGACGATGACGACAGCGACGACACCTCCGTCACGCTGCACGGTCAAAAGACGTCTGCGAATCTACGGTTTGGTGCGAGGGAACCCAATCTGGTTGTCATAGCGCCGACCAGCACGATTGGTGGAGAAGCGCCAAGGGCGGTGCTTCCGTAAGGTGCAACACAGGAGCTGTTACGCCACTGCATTTGCGAACGAAAAGTAAAATACGCCAAGTCGTGAAAGATGTCACCACCGACGAGATACTGATGAAGATTATCAACCTTGGATAAATTTTTATCCGGTAGAACCTGGAAATAACTCAAAAAGTTATTAACATTATCGATTGTCAAAATAAATTTTTCTGACATAAATGTTTGAATTTGTAGTTATATAACTGATAGAATTGTTATTAAATTATTCTCTCGCAATTCAAAATCTCTGCTATCATATTGACTGAATAACCATTTTTAATATTACAAATAATTTATAGTAAAAAGTATCAAAGCTTTAACGAGATAAATGCAAATATTTTAAAATAAAGATTTTATTGTTCAAGTGCGTAATCGATTTAATAATTCTTTTTAAATCGGACAACTAATTATTTAATTTTTTATTTTAAATTAACATATACACATTAAATAAGAATGTTGTCCCGTCACATATAATTCTTTTTAATATTTAGATTCTAACAATAAGAATCTCATTTTCAAATATAATTAATTTTATACATGAAACATGTTATCAATTGTATCAATCTATGATATTATAAAAATTATAAATCAATAGACATATCTCCTCATTCTCCTGATTGAACAAATATTAATAAGATTATTAATAACAATTTAATATCCGGTATAAAAATACACAAATTCCAAAGAGGAACCTAAATCGGTTTTTATTAATATTCTTTTTCTATCAATGTATGTCTATGTATATATACATACATACACACATATATATATATATATATATATATATATATATATATATATTTCTATATACTTTAATATATATACTTTACATATATTCATAACAAGCATTCAACAAGCAGCTCCAAATAATGTAAAACGAAATATTACCGTTGTCGTGAATTATTGTAGCAGTATTAATTGACATCTTTAGAATGACTTTAGCACAGAGAATGTGATGAAAAATGATCAAATGTAAAAGTATCTGATCTGATATATTAAATACTGTGCGCTTTTTTGATATGATCACTAGTCCCACGAATATTTATACACTGAAATCATTCGCCTCGCCACTTTTTATGAATCCGTTGTAGATGCTCGTAAGCTCGTTGAGAAATATTAAGTTCGGGGTTTATCGAACACAGACCAGGCTGTCTCAAAAGACTTAAACCACACAGACCTGTTAAAAAGAAATTATATGTCTATACTCGTATTATTTAAAATAAAGATTGACTGCAAAAAAATTTTCTAATATGATACATTTTTATATATCAAAGATTTGTAAATTATATTACAGAATACAATCATAATGTAAATTTTATACATTTACCTAAATATGTGTGTAAAGGATCAGGCCGAGTGTTGTCAAATTTCGCCAAACCTCCGACAAGTGTATCTTGAGTATTAAGGATAAACGTTTTATTCTGTTCAGCATCTGAGAAATTGAGGAACTCCAACAGCTCGAGCGTAGCACCCACCCAGAAACTATAACACGTATCGGATGGTTTTCCAGGTCTTCCATTAAATCCACCGTCTTGTCTCATAAGGCACCAGCGCTTCAGCCGAGCTAAACGATCCCACGTCAATATGTTCGATAAATTAATGTGGTCTCTCATTAAAAACAAACTCGCTACGGCACAAAACGTGGAGCCTCCATGAGATTCGAGACCTGGTCCTTGCCCAATACCGCCATCATATGACTGCAATTATCATAATATAAATCATCTGTTAAACAACACTAAAAGAAGATAAAACTAAATGTAACAATGAAACTTGTGATAATAATCTGACATAATAAATGCTTACAATGCTTCGTAAAATATAGTCTACAGCCCTTGGAATATCTACACCTGACCAGTCATCTAAAATTGATGATACACATGAGGCGCAATAGAGAAATCTCATGTCGCTTTCGCATCCAATAACCATAGCCGTGAAAGATCCATCTGGATTCTGACAAGCTCGTACTCCCTCGACGATGGATTGTCTATTCACTCGACTCAGATCATCACCGAGGATCAAAAGGGTGATCAGGCTGGTATAAGTCATCGCTAAATGACCACATTGGTACTCGGGTACTTCCTTTGGTATTGTTGTAGACGCTTGGAAGCCGGAACGCGGGCCAGCTTGTTCGACCTGGAGCCGGTAGATCCAGTCGATCGCCTCGGTCTTGGCTTGCTCGCCGATTTCGTCCAGGGAATTCAACAGGTCGAGACCGGATAGGGCGAAATACGCTATCATCGGCCTGGTGGAATCGAACTCCGCCAGACTGCTAGGCATGATTTGTAGTAACCTCTGGAAATACTTGACATGTTTCTCCCGCGCCAGCCGCGGCGTCATGATGACAATCGTACGCTCTTGGAGTTAAATGAAAACGCCACTCTATATCGACGAGACATACGTTCGACGCACACACCTCAAGGAGTCGCGAGCGTGTCGTTGCTATGTGAAAGTGTAATAACAATTCATGTATAAAACTTCTGTTGATCCAGCACGTCTCTCATCCGTTCCCATCCCATGCCGGCTCGTCAAAACTCTCGGAAATGCGCCGACGCGCCATAAATCCTCACGCCCGAGCGATGCGTCCTATCCGCTTCCTTTTACGTCGAATCAGATTAATAACTCGAAAATGACGTGTTGCAATCGACCCTGTCCGCTTCCTATCTACTGCCCGACACTTGACAGTTATATGTTCGGTCATATTCGGTACCTTGTTCATGGGCAATGAACTACGAATGAATTACGAACATGGCCAGTTTTATGGAAGTTTCATAAACGTTCAAATTGAGACAATTATAAAATGAATTTAACGATTTAGCGTTATATTGATATTTCTTATAAATTCACGAAGATATTCGATTTTTATTTAAAATTATAATTTTTATTATCAATTGTTTTATTATCTATGTAGCTAACAAAAATTACAATTATCGATTAATTAGAATTTGATTGAACTTATTCCAATTAACTTAATTGATGATTAATTTAATCGGCAAAATTAATCTTGATTTAATTTATTTTTACCTTTTTTTTTTAGTTTTAAGAATTAAAAAAAGATAGAGTAAATTTTAAATCAAGGTTAAAATTAATTTATATGATAAAAATGGATATAAGAACAAGACAGTGCCAATATTCACCATAACATTTTTTTCGCATATATATCTATATACAATCATATATATCAATTTTATATATATATAGACAACGACACATCATTCTATGTCATAAAAAAATAGAAAGGAAAATTTGTACGTAATTGTTAATTACAAACTCTGTTACATATTTCTGCACATTGCAACATTGGGTAAATAAACTACAGATCTATAGTGGCAACGATTATCGAGGAAAATCTCTAACATTTCGCTCTCTTACTTTATATCGACGATAGTAATAATACTGCATTTAGAAATGTACATGACTTGAATTCAACACGCAACGATAATCTTTAATAAATAAAAGTTTTCGCGAAAAAAAATATATCTCTTTTCGCGATGCAACGCGAAAATACATACGTATTATAAATCGAAACAATATCAAATAAATATTTAATAAAACAGGGATGTAACATCGATGAGGAATGCTAGTTATCACTTGAACGATTGATAATTCGCTAGTAAAACTTTCAGGCAATAAATAACCGTACAATTGCGGATACGTCAGGTAACGATTAGTCATTAGCATCCTAAGGAGATCGAATCGTTATGGCAGAAAGTCAGGAGGTATGCCGTTCGGTAATGTGACACCGAGTTTGGTCGTTATGCAAGACGCGACTTTGCATCCCAATTCTAAACAACTCTTCGGATCCCAATGAGCCAAGACACCGGCCAGAAAACCAGCTACTAAAGCGTCTCCGGCGCCCGTCGTGTCCACGATAGGTGTTTTAGGTACGATAGGTTGCACCTAAATGTAACATGAAATAATTTATTTCTTCTATCGCTTTCAGCTCTCGTTTATCTATTCTTTTAATTGAAATAAACCTGAACGGATTGTCCTTTGCCCCATACGATAATTGCTGGTGCGCATCCACCACGCGTCATAATGAATATACCTTCGTCTGCCAGCCAATCTTTACTGTTAGCGCTGGAAACGTCCACTGTGATTCTTTTTAAACTGTTCAGTAAAAATGGTATGTCAGTAACATCGTCGTATTTCACGTTCAATGCTTGAGCTAAAGCGATCATTTCTCTCGCATTGCCAAATACAATCTTAGCGTGGCCAACCATTTCGCAAATAGCCGCTTGATGCTCCTTAAAAAATTAAAAAAAACTTAGACAATAGATAGACAAATGATGTAATCAGTTATTTCAATCCATAACGAGAAAAGTCAAATATTAATTTAATATAATAATTATATTACTATTTAATGTATGTTAATAATCTTTTTTTATAGATCGTACTTGAAATAAATAGAAGGAATTAAGATTGAACGCTATAATAATATTCTTTTCCTGTGCCCGTTTGACCAATTCTTTGGCCACATCCAAACTGTGTGTTACAAAATATCCTTCAATATAGATTATTTTTACGGTATCGAACTGTAGATTGGCTTTTTTCAAATCATCCAATGTATATACATTAGCTGCACCAAGATTCGCAACAAGGCTGCGGGATGTACCGTACACAAGGGAAACGCATAATCCAGTAGATAAAGTTGGATGTACAGTGTACCTAAGAAAATATATATAAATTTTAAATATTTTATTTTAAAATAAATAAATATTAAATTTATGCATATTTCAACGAAGTTAAATCAATAAAACTACCTCACATCCACTCCTGCAAGTCGAACTAATTTTTCTAAGATTGTGCCTCTTTGGTCATTCCCAAGGCTGCCACAGAAAATACTAATTTGGGATTCATAGGTTTCATCACAGAGCCACTGCAAAATTCTTAATGTATTCTGTGCAGATCCTCCGGGATTTGTACATTGCTCTATTCTACAATATATAAAATTTTTAATTCAATAAAAATCATGAAAATTATATATTCATAATATAACTTTGATATATACTATACATGCATCATTTAATTTTAAAAATAATCATGTAGCATATACAATTAAAAATTTAAAAATAAAGCTTGCACTGTACATATACTTTTGCATAATCTATCTCTTATGTAATATACTATTGTAAATACTTTTGTAAATATAAATCCATTATAAACTTATAGATATATTGATATATTATATATAACTTTTTATTTATTATTGTAAACTATTACTATATATAATTTATACATTTCAATACATTTAAAAATAATTTGCCGAATAAAAAACATTAAAGCTGTATTCCAGGTACGTATGGTAACAAATTTAAATCAAACTTTTTTAAAAAGTTATATACAATACAAACATAAAACATATTCTAATAGATATATTTATTAACTCTGATGGCAAATCTGAAATTAATTCCTGTAGCTTCTTCTCACATAACTCCATTTCACCATCTATCTTGAGACTGTACTTCTTAAACAATTCATCATTCTTCAGTATTACAAAAATATCCAACAAAGGATTGCCAAAAGCTATAATTGCTGGAAAGTCTAATCGAGTAATGGTCTTTCGCAATGGAATCTTCTCTACCATTTTTCGTATCGAGGAGTTTCAAACGTTAGCTTCCAACATATCAAGACATAAGAAATTAATGACATGATCTCATAGAGATTAAGATATCAATTAGTAGCTACTTACAGGGTGAGTAAAATTTTTCGAATCATCCTAATCTGCCACTTAAATAGTTACAGAATTCTGTTCTTCAGCAAATCTTTAATTTAATATCATTAGAGGTTCTAACAAGAATCATAGAATTTTTAGAAAAATTCATAAAGATCCCAAGAAAATATATCTCGAGTCCACAACAATGTGCACCAATCAGAAAGTATCGCCGAATCAAATGAAGAGGAGAATAAAAGTTGTTGTAAAAGAGAAATGAAAGTCGGATAAACGCTTCGTCTGAAATATTCTCTCTTTTTTTCCGACTTTTGATCATTAACACATCGAAATGAATCGTGTGACTGAATCGTGCCCGTCAATCTCCTCCTATTCATTTCTTCGAGTCACATCGCGCGCTGTCTGTCAGCAACTTGCCCTCTCGCATACGTCCACGTATGTACATTTCCGAGACACGTCGTAATCATGATGTAAGATCAAGTGTAACCAGTCAACTTTTTACTATACTGGAATGTAGACTGTCATGCTTAGCGCCCGGGCAGCAAAAAAAACGATTGATGGAACACAGTACAAGCACTCTGCAAAGAAATATGGATTCGCGCAGATCGTGTTTTTATTTGGATCAAATGAAATCTAAATCCCAGTCTACAATAAGATTTAAGCTTTAAGCCATAAAAAATTGACCAATCATAGTCGATTATTCTCCTATTCTTCGACTATGATTCGTCCCTTTCTCATGGCTTAAGGTTTAAATCACCTATTAGTGTCGGTCCACAATAGGTAATTTAAGCTTTAAGAAGTAAGAAATTGACCAATTATAATCGAATATAAAAAGAATAATCGATTTTGATTAGTCAATTTCTTAAGGCTTAAAGATTAAATACCTATTGTGGACCGACACTTATAGACCGAGACTTATAAAAATTTGTTAGAATAAAAAAAATAAAAAAACTATGATTATACTTAAATATATAGGACACTTAAGGCCATTGCACGTAAAAAATTTTTAGTCGTAAGATGTAAAACGTAATTTTTAATCGTAAGACGCAAATTGATCAATCACAATCAATTATTTTTGGATCACAAGGAGAATAGATGAACTTTAATTGGTCAATTTATTTTATAATTCGACTAAAATTTTTTCACTGCAATGGCTTTTACTGATTATATTAACAATAAACTACATTCAGAAACATCATCCCAGTCCTATTATTTTAATTTGTTTAACATTCGATAAACAACAAAAAAAATGATATATGTATGGAATGGATATTTTTAAATATAGTCTTGTGATCTTATTTTCGGATGCAGATAGAAGAGAATCAGACAATTTGTTCCAAACACAAGTTTATTCTGGTCGTTCTCGAATTTGTTTCATAATTTTGACCAATAGAAACGCCGAATTCTCAAATATTCTAGGATGCATTCAAATTCCTCACTTGAATGTGTTTATTCTTGTTTTTCGAGTGTTAAACAAGGATAAAATGAGAGCCCTCGAATGGGAAATTCGAATGCACAATTGGAATACAAGCGATTCACGTGTGCTTTGTACGGGGGCCGGTCTATTATTTTGAGGTTAAGTGAAACATTTTTCTGTGAAAAATGGAACGTCGTACGAAATTAGACAATCGGTTACGAGTTTTAATAGAGAATGGAGTTACTACAGGACATAGGACGATGTTCGTCGTCGTCGGTGAGAAAGCGAGAGACCAAGTAAGTATGAACGAACATGCGTGAACAGAGTTTTCCTTAAGTCTTTAAATTTCTAAAGCAAATTTGTTCATTAAATATTCAATTTAATCTTATTAAAAGGTTTAATATAAATCAGAGAATTTTTATTGTTTGACGAAGATCTCAAAAAAGACTTTGAGTCTCCTTGAGCCATTTCGATATGAAATTACAAAAGATCAAAGGTATTCAACATTAGTTTGAGCATCAAAATGCATTAGGATGTATTCATTTTGGACGTGCTGTAAGCGTTGTTCTATTTTCCTTTGGTGTGTAATAATGAGTTTCCTTTGATACGAATAATAAAGATTGTATGATACAACACAAATATTCAAAGCAACTGCATTCTTAATAGTGTTTTATTTTGGCGAAAATATGTCTTTATAATTTACTAGTCAATCTTGTATAAAAAAGTACTTTAATTGTGTCTTTATATTGTTATATTTATTATTGTATTATATACAAATTAAAATTTGTAATATTGTACAAAGCAAGCATAAAACTTTATGTAAAGTATATATATATA